TAACCACACGAGCCGGATTGTATATGACCACTATACCTTATAATCAGGCTTACGCAAATGATCAAGTTCTTCTATATCAATTAACTTTATCCAATTTAACTTTTCTCGGACTTTATTGTGATATAGCACCTAACAGTATCGGTTATATATGCATAATTGAAATTAGTAATAATCAATCGCAACCGACTTACGTAAAAGTTAAATTTTTAACGTCCGCATCAGTGATGACGGTTAATTTATTATCCGATATGCCTGACCTTAGCACAACTGAGATCATATCTCAAGGCTTTGGAATGCAAGCAATGGCATTCGGTGGTTATATATTGTATGCTATGAATAAAAATTACGATTATTATATTTGGCCTTATGATGAGGTCAACAGTAAAATGCATCAAATAGGACCTTATTCTGCAAATAAATATGCAGCAAATGCTCTTTATAATAATATTAATCAGAATAATCTTAATGCCGCAAATGGTATTATGAGGAATAATAATACTTTTATACTCGCGTCATCCACACCAAAAGCAAAAACTTCGTGGTCCCTGTACAAGATTCCATTACCTACGGTTATACTTGGTCGTGATATGCTTCTTTTATTACATTAATCTGTTTTTTAATATATCTTTATTAAGTATCTAATATTTGTTACTTTGTATATGAAAATTTAGATAGTGGTTACGGTAATCTTCAAGTAGTTAAAATTGAACCACCACCAATTAATACAACGCATAATGGCATTGTCAATGCAAATACAAATACCTTATTCATTACCTTTAAAAATCCTGTTATTTTGTCAAACGGTAATATCACCATTTACAAAGATTCTGATAAAACAATTAGGCAAAAAATTGCTGCATCAATGTCCGATTACGTTGGAATTGCAGATAATAATCGCACGACTGTCAATATAACCATCATTAGCAGCACATTTAATCAATACGGTGAAATTTATTATATGCAGATGGATGCTGATTTTGTCAGAGATGAAAAGAGCTATGAACCTTTAACAGGAATTGAAGAAGATATTGTGAAGTATAATTCAAGTAATGTTTCGTTTTATTAATATTTTTATTTTATTTTCTTTAGTTTATTTTATATATTTAAATTAATCTTTTTTATATAATTAGCAACTATACCACGTCCCTCAGGTAATAAATTAACATTAGGATTTTTCATAGCTTTAAAATTTAAAATCACTAAATTTTTATTCTTCTTTATAGAGGAAGCTGCTATCTGTGTAGCTCGTCTCACTGAGGATGCAACAAAAACATTTAACAATCTCCCTGATGTCAATCAAACACAATACTTTAAAAAGCTATTACTAGATATTGCTACAAAGTTACCATGCCGACCTGAACTTCTATCTACATATGGATCCCCTCAGTATATTTCTATTAATTCTATAGAAAATGTTCAATTTTCTATCCGTGTAAATAAAACAATTCCAAAGCTAGACAAAAATAATACAGTTCCAGGGATTGTCTCAGATATAGATGATATGATCAAGAATAAGAAAGTCACCACTTTTTCCGATGGTATAACAAATGATTTAGATGAAAATTTTGGCTTTAAAAAGCCAAATAGTATACTGGGAGATTATAAAGATAAAATTATTCCTTTTGTATCTGCAGCAGCAGTGAACACTATACTTTACTTAGCATCTCGATCCAATAAGGTAAAAATTTACTCAATTTTTTTCGAATAATTTTTATTTATTAATATTGTAAATAATATAATCTTTTACTGGAATATTTTTGATAGCAAGTACCTGACCAATTCAAACAAATGTTGAATACATTTACAACTGGATTATTCACAGCCTCTCATACAAGTTTATCAAGCATATTTTCTTTTCAAGATGTTAATAATTACCCGAAATTCAGCTTGCCAAGGTGTTTTATCAATTTCCTTTACTGAAAATTAAATCAATTTTTATATTTTAGTTAACCTTTTTATTTTTAAATAGCAAAATCTTATGGATTACTCCACTAGCAATAAATATTACTGTTTTTACTTATATTATGTGTAAAGGGGGATTTAATGGAAAAAATTTTATGAATTTAATACTTATTGGTTTAACATTATATAATAGTGAAACTTCAATACTTATAAACCAAAGCCAGCTTAAAGATATGTTTGGTAAAGATTTTGAGGCTACAGCTAAATATAGAGGTTTTGCTGATATCTTACTTAAAAGTATTCCACAGCTAATTACTCAGGTAAGGTTTTTATTTGTTAATTGTTTATTTGTTTACTCGTCAATTACATTAATTAATAATAATTTATTGTTCAAATATATATATATTTATTTATTTATTTGTATAGATTTACTATTTTAAATTAATTGTGACTTATAGCATTATTCCGTTCCTTACACTATGTTTAACTTCTTTTATGATTCTTCTTACAAGTGTTAAATGGATAGTTGATTTGTTTGATAAAAAGAAAGGAGAGGATAAAGATGAAAAGGGAGGTAATAATAAGGATGTTGAAGATGTAAAGGGAGATAATAATAAAGATGAATGATGATGAAAAGGAAGATAATAATAAGGATGATT